ACCTGCGCAAAATGGTAACGATTTTCAACGGCCGCGAATTCATGATCTGTCTCATCCGATCTGCCGATTTGTTTGCATGCCGATGGCTGTCTCGGCGCACGGCCACCGGCCTCGCCTGGCTGGTAGCTTGTTTCTTCGGCTAGCGTGTTTCTACTCAGCAAACCACAACTAATACGCAGTTAAAATTTCGCGAAAATCCTGACCAGCTTATATAGTCGACGTGAGACGTGGTAAGAAACGCCGTGAGGTGCGCCGTGCAGTGCGATACACTGCCTAGAAGACGCTCTTGATTAAGAATCCCCCATGAGCGTGTGAGAGCGCCGCGGACGCCGGTGATCGCCGTTGGCCGAAGGCCCAATAGATCTCGAATCAGAAACGCCATTAAGCGCGGAGAGGTCGGTGGCGCCGCGCGGCGCGTGTTTAGAACGCGGGTATGATCGCGAGCAGGCTCGCGGTAAGAGCGCGGTGTTTTTTTCAAGTTTGTTATTTGTTGGGGACTTTTTGCTCGCGTTGTGTTCGCGTTTGGCCGGCGCACCCCTTGTTGTACATTTTCTGGTCGCGCGTCGGTGCGCGAGATGTCCGCCGTCCGGGGGACGGGGTATTACAGATTACTGGGCGCGTGCTGAGGCGAGAGACAGCTGCCCCTTGAACAATGAACGCTATCTGAAATTACTGTATGAATGTAACGAGCGGGTCGTGTTCGGGGGACACGCTCTTTTCAAGCAACTCTTGGACTACTTTCACAGTGCAAAGAAATATTTCGAGATTCACCGCTTCTTGTCCCGTGCGTTTTTGCTATACTATATTGTACATGGATAGGGCCCGGACGCGTCGGCGACGTGTCGCCCAAATGAAATGACGTAGGGCTGACGTTAAACATTTAAAAGAAGCATGAGTTCTATGCGTGGATTACGCTACGAAAGAATCCTAATCATATGTGTACTATGAGGATGTGTCGTTTTAAATTAATTAAACTAATTTACCGGTGGTTGTAACTGCCTAATAACTGCGTCGTGGCTTTTTAAAATGACTATTGCGAGATTTTTGCTCAGAAAAACTAAATATAGCTGAATATAGTCTCACCTGACAGCGAAAATATCACTGATTACACCAACATTAAAAATACTAAATTTTATGCGTTATAGGATATGGATAGAAATTGATATGAACACATCGTAACAGCAATGCATTTTATCGTGTCGCGACAATGCCTAATGGCAGAATTGGTAAACTTGTATTTGTGTCGCTGAAAACAAGTGCATGATTTGAGAGAGCCATGCTTTGTCTATGGCAGATAAGCGGTGGGCTACAAGCTAATCCACACTTCCGCCTAGTTCAAGATAACAGAAAACGAATGTTTACGAAACTAGTTCGAAACCAGTAGTTCGAAACTGGTAGTTTTTGGTGAATACGAAGTTCTAAGACATTTTATTGTTACTCTAGACAATTGCTGTTACTCACGCAATAACGATAGCTGTCATGAAATTGGTGAAAACACTGGAAAATTCTCGCAATAATCGCTTTAATCGATAGTTATCCATGATCCTATACGGCTTAATC